TTTTCCTCTCCTAAATTTTTAGTAATTTTTAAATATATTTTATATGTTTTTAGTTGAAAACGAGAAGAAGGAATGTTTGTTTTTGGCTTTACTGGCTACTGGTGACACCTGGGGTGTTTTAACACAAAGGGGGGTGCAGGCTCTGTTTGAAAAGGCAGCTCTGCCCGGTCATTGCCAACCACGGCCCCTGCTGGCACGTTGTGTTGGAAGGGGGCTCCTTTCAAACGGTAATCTCCATCCCATTTGCAGAGCAAATCTGGGAGCGCCTCTAGCAGACTATAGAAGCTCCTGTACCTCTGTGTTTATGCTGGCCCTTGGTGTGACATCAGCTTTTTGGGACTGATTTCTGGTCATTTCTCCCCCCCCCCCCCCCCCCGAACAACCAGAGGAACCTGTTTTTCTGGCACAGGCTCTTGTTTAAGTTAAAATTCATAACACAGAAGGGAAATCAGAGCACGAAACCTCCAGCGTCTCTACTTCTGACGTTTGTGCTGCTAATTAGTTTCTGTTCGGTGTTCCATTCCATCTTCTCTGTTTTACTTGGGAAAAAATGCATAATGTAAATACATTTTTACATACCCAGATTTCCCTCTCAGTGTTCAGAAGCAAATGTATAGCTTCAGTGTCTGCCCTGAGCATGTGACCAGAGCTTAGATGCCTATTTTATGCCACATTATATTGCATTTTCTTCCTACAACACTAAAAGCAAATCTCAGAGGCGGCCCAATTAAAAACACAGCCTTCAAAATAAGGAGGATTTCCTCTTCAGATATCAGCTCCATCACATTTGTAAGAACAATCTCCACCGCCCACTGAGCCCCACTATATCCGGGCTACGTGAGATGCCTCGGGGCAGACCTGGGCACCTGGTGGGACGGTACCTTGCCCAGGTCCTGCCTCGGGAGCAGGTCAGAGCTGGAGCTTTGTCCTTAGTCTGAATCCAGAGCTCACACTTTTCCCCTCTGCGTCCCAGGCTTTTATCATGCCTTAGTTTCCAAACAGAATTTAACAATCCAAGCAAAATAATTCAGACTGATTGGAATACTAGATTTTGCATTTTCTTTTCAACCATGCTGATAGATCATTTTTTTCTCAGCTGACATTTTTACAAAAACAGTTTGCCCCTGTGGCTTACCCCCTCCCCATGAAAATAGACATTCTTTGAATTCTCAAGGATATAGATAATCTGCCCAGCTCAGATTCCCTCTCACATCCCGGGACAGATGCCCTGGTGGGCCGCAGCTCAGGAGGTCACCTTCCCCCTGCTTCTTCCCTTACCTAAGGTGAGCCTGGAGGCACCTAAGGTTGATAAAGTGTTTGATGACAGACTTTTCTTACTCTCTTTTTAACTGAACACCTATTCAGTCGGTGTTGAAATGCCAGTGATTCCTCCTTCCCTTCTTCTGCCTCTGGTGGAAATTTACCATGTAGCATGTATGACTCATGTTTATTAATCGATTTGTTTCCAGCAAGAGGTCAGCTAACTTGTTACACCTTAATATATAGGTTTTGGATTCCGTGAAATTACACACGTGTGAGTCCTGCTTATTAACTGTTATTCTGCCGCTGCTATCTTCTCTACAGTTCTCAAGTCAGTCCCTTTCTAAGCATCCTTTTTGCCCCCTGTGTAGCTCAAAACCACATACACTCCTACCTGGGTGACTGGCTGCTGATTTCCCTGCCTCCTGGCCCTGGGAACCGGGGTGAACACCCCAAAGCACAGTTTGACCATTTACTTCACTGCCCAGCTCTACGACCCACTAGGAGCTCCCTCAGCCGGCGAATCCGCATTTCCAGCACTTTGTGCCTGCCCCGTGTCATCTGCTGCCTGCCCGCTGCTTGTGACTCTGCTCAGGTCTGCCTCTTGCCCCCGTACCTTTGTCCTGACCCTGGTGCATCCTTCTCCATCCCTACCTTTACCCGGCTGAACCCCCCTTACTCCTTTAAGACTGCTCCAGTGTCACCTCCTCCAAGAAACTGTTTCTGATGACCGTTCCCTGCCCAGGCCACCCGCCTCCACCTGGGGCCTCCACAGCAGCAACCTGCACTCACCATCCCCTTGGCGCTCATTATTCTCGACTCTGTTCATTTCTCTGGCCCTTGCAGAAGTCTGTGCTGCTGGCAGGGCCTGAGCTGCGTAAATCTGGCCACCAAGCAAAACAGATCCCTGGAGTGAATGTAAAGTCCTCACAGCAAAAACTCTTAGACTGAGCCGACCCCATGTCCCATGGCTCCAGCATAGGTGAAACTTTGCCTGCTGGTTTTAACCTGAGCTTATATGCTAGAGCTGTCCCTCAAAATTTCTCCCACAGAGTAAGAAGGGGCTGTGTGCTGTCGCTGCCTCCCCACACCCCATCCCAGTTATTAACATCTCTGGCTCCATCATAATCACAAGAGGGCTGATTTGTTGAAATTCAAATACAGGTACTCTAGAAAGCATTCTCCGTGTTCTCTCTGTCATGCTTTCCCTGGAAAGGACAGATAAATCAGAAACTGCAGAGAGGCAGTGAGTGGCGAACTCTTCATCATTCCTGTCCACTTCACTTTTCCTTGGGGCTCTGAAAGGAGTCCCGGGGACAAGCAAGGAACACACGCCGCCTCCCCACACAGCAAGATACAGGTGCTGGTGTGCTTGCGTTCACCTGGCCGCAGTACACAGCCTTTCAGGAGACTTGGGGTGTTTTCTGTTTTCCATGTGACTGTTATGCAGATAAACTGCAGACCTCCCCTCTGTCAGCCCGTGGTCGATACGCTCCACAGGCAGTGCGATCCCAAGAAACAGTGTCTGGGGTCCAGAGGCTCCCTCAGGCCAGTGCAAACTGCATATCCCATCTGCCATGTACAGGTTTGGCTTTTCCTAAACAGTGCAGAAAAGGGTTTTATGGCGCTTCAGTTGTTTGGGCAAAACATGGTCTAGCATCTTGAGGGTTGGTTTTGTTTTGCCAGTGATGAGTGGGAGCAGGTGGTGTGGACCGTCCATGAGATCCCTTATCAAAGTGGTCAGTGAACCCTGAAGCTTCAGGTCTACAGGCCTCCCTAAGACCTTCTGGTCTTTTTTAGCCGCAGGCCCCGGTGTCTGTGTCTGTCATGGCCAGGTGTCAGTGGTAAGGCCTCCTGGAGGGCGTGACTCTGTTTGTCCTTCACAGCCCTGTGACCTTCATGGATGCCTCTGCTTGGTCACAGCCTGGCCAGCAGGGAACTGCATTGTTCTTCCACACAGTGATATCACCAACAAGACTACTCTTCCAGAATGGGTCCTGTAAAGAGAAAGGAACACACACCCGTACATACAGATATATCTTCACTATCTTCACGTGAGATTCACTTTCTTATCAGAAAAAAGTAATTTACATATTAACAGAATGATTAGCTTCTGCCTAAGAATTCTAACATTTCAGTACCACGATTTAGAATCAGGCTAAATTTGTCAAGTGACCAAACGTGAGGTTTTTCAGAAATTATTAGCTAATTTTTTCAATATAGAATTTATAGTCACAATTAGTATATCATAATGATGTTTCCAGGATAAAATACCAGCTGCTCAACTTTTCTGGCCACAAATGTACAACATCTATCAGTTTATTTTTGGAGATCTGAAGAATTAGCTACTGTAAATAAAGTCCCCAAGAAGATTTCTCCGGGAAAGAAATGAACTTACAGTAATATGGGTGATATATTATTAATTAATAACTATGACCAGTGCTGTTTCAATTAAAAGGAAAACGGATGAGAAGGCCTATTAGAAAGGATATACTTAATCTCCCCAGCACTGAGGTCTGCAGGGCAGAGCAGAGAAGGTGGTTTCTGAGGCTGCTGCAGGCGGAGGTCCCTGCAGCTCCTGAGTCTGGGAACTTTGCTGAGCGCTGACTACGTATCTCTCAGAAGCAGTGCTCATTTGGTTGCCAGTAATGGAGACCGACTTCAGAATACCTTAAGGAGCTAGAGGACTTTTCCAGAGCACTACAGGGTCTCCCACAGCGCATGGACAGCATGTGCTGATGGACGAGGGAGGGCTTCACTTGGGACTGAAACAGGCAGGCTTCTGTGTCTATCTAGAGGAGGGACTCTGGCATGTCTGGCGCAAAGGACAGGCACGTGGCACCTGTCTGCAGGTGTCACGATACATGCCACGTGTGTTACGGGAGGCCTCATGAGAAGGGTCCCTAGGAGCATAACTCTGAAGACTCCCCCCAGGAGGGAGCAGGTGAGCCGTGTGACCCAGGGTTGGCAGGTCTTTTCCGGACCGGTGGGTGAGAGACGCCACCCCAGGCCTCGGCTGGTGGGCGTGCGCAGTGCCATGGGGAGGGCAGCTTGAGGGGCGGCTGGGCAGGAAGCAGTCCCAGGAATGACAAGGTTATTCTGAAGGTGGTAGGAAAGGAGCATGCAGGAACTTGGTTCTGGGAGAGAGTTGTGTGTTCAGAGGGTCGGGCCCCCCGAGGTCGGACAGCTGTGTGAAGTGCCCTCCTTCTAGGGGAGAAATGACCAGAGGCCCAGCAGCAGCTTCCACTCAGGGTCACAAAGCCAGGACTCCCCTGCTGCAGCCAGAGCCACAGAGAAGCCTCGAGATGGCATTACCAGGAGCCTTTGTCCTTCCTGTTGCTCGTTTGGCTTTAAACACAGTTACTTTATTTTTAGGGTAATCATTTGGACTTAACTGGCCATCTGCCTTAAAATTGCCACCTGTTCATGTCGTTGGATAGAAGTAGTTCTGCAGAGCCTTGCTAATGCGGCATGCCCCGAACACACTCCAGAGTGGAAAGAGACCTAACTAGCCATTTGATTCCTTTTTCTTTCTTTGCTTTACTTTTTTTTTTTACTGTCCATTTTCTCCCCGGCCTGTGATGAGAGAAATGAACTGCTCCTGGGAGCATTCGACCTCACCGCGTCCACTTGCTCTTGCTTAAACTGGAATGACACAGGGAGAATATGTGGGGGCCTCCCCAAAAGGAAGTCACCAGAACCCCTTCAACCCTGCCTTCTCTCTCTCTCTCTCTCTCCAGGTCACGCAATATTTAAACTCACGTATCTAAGCAATCATGACTATAAACACCTCTACTTTGAATCTGACGCTGCTACTGTCAATGAAATTGTACTCAAGGTGAGTGTTTCTCCTTCGTCCCTGTGCAGGGCGGGCTTCTGCACGGCCAGTTCTCAGGCCGGAGCAGTCCCCTCCTCCCCGCACTGGGCCAGGCTCCCGAGCCCGGTTTGCAGAGGGGGACCTGCCTTCTGGTCACGCGGGTGGTGAGTGCCCACACCCAGGCCACACCGCTGGTCAGCGGCTCCACGCCCACTTCAGCCAAAGCAGGAGCCCCTCGGGCCCCTCCTGCAGTACTTCTGCTGCTGCATATCCTTTTTATGCACCACGGACCTCCTCCCATCCATCGTCAGGAGCTCCTTGAGGCTCCTGGAATGGACTCCAAGGAAATTGTTGTTATTGTGTGAAGACGTTTAATGTATCCGAGGTAATTTTAGCAACCTATTGTAAACATGTTCAACTAGATGCTACAAGTTCAACTTGATTGAGTCCTGCTTACGAGACCTCAGCCGTGCCCGCGGAGCACCTTCGGTGTGCCAGGCTAGCACTTGGGACACTGTGGTAACAGACCCAGGCCCTGCCCCCAGAAAGCTCTTCCTCTATAAGAGCAGACACACATTAAACGTTACAGGGCACAGATAGTTAACCAGTCACAAAGGTACTGCATGGATGTGGAAAAGGTAAACTGACAGGGGTAGAGGGGACGGGTGGAGAGCTGAACCCTGAAGGGTAGTTGAAAGGCACAGATTTTACCAGGGGAGAGAGAAAACGCATCTCAGGGAGCAGCCTGCGAAGGGCAGAGAAGTGGACTGAGCACGTGAGGCCGGGAGGTGGCCCCCAGGCCCGTGTGGCTGGAGCAGAGCGGGGCGGGAAGGCCAGGTCACACAGAACCTTGTACGGTGGGGACAGGCTGAGAAGAGCTCCCCTGGGGTCTTGGGAGGGCCGGGGAGGGCCCGAGACTGCATCTCTAAGAATTCCCCGGTGCTGCCCAGGTTCTTGGTCTGTGCACCACACTCTGAGCCGCCCTGGACTAGTGGTTTTCAGACACTTCGAAACCGAGAGTGCTGTCTCCAAGCCGGATCTTACGCAGACGGAACAGATAGCAACAGTGGAGCTGCTTAGTTTGGGCAGAGCAGGGCTCACAGCCAGAGGGTGACTCTGGTGACTCTGTATGACCCTGGCTAGTCACATCACCTCTCAGGGCCTCAGTTTCTCTGCCTGTAAAATGGACATCATGGTAGGTACCCTGCCCCACCCCAGCAAAGGGCTCCTGGAGGACCCAGCAAAGGGTCAAATGAGGTCGTGCAAACCTACCTAGATGAGTATTCATTCTCCTCTTGAGAGTGAAAGCCAGCGAGTAATAATAATGAAAGTAGCCAAGCTGTGCTTGACGGATTGCAGAATACAGGACCTGAGCTAAACTCTCTCACCCTCTTTCACGGAATCTTCATGGTTCTGCAAGACGGTACTGTAACAGTCTTTCCCATTCCATCCCATTTCCTAGATGAAAACTGAGGCACAGAAACAGATCTTAGCCAGGACCATGAATGGCAGAACCGGACCCGACCCCGGGTTTGGCAGCTTCCAGACCTTGTGTTCCTAACCCCCTGAATGCGTGGCGCCTTGAGGAGTTGAAGGACAGGTTTCCATAAATGGCCTTCTTTCACAGACATTTCGAGGGCTCATCCTCATGGCTGCAAAACATTTCCAAAAGTAGTAGATGGAAATGGAAGGCTAAAGCTGCTGGGGGGTCAGTCAGGACCAGAGCCCGCCTCGGACCAGGCGGCGGGAGCCCGGGGCATGCTGCAGTGCTCGAGACCAGCAGGCTAAGAGTTAACTTGCCAGCTTGTCACCAGACAGCACGGGGAACTTGTGCAGCATTCGGGGACCAGGTAAAGAAATATTCCATTACCCCATCAGGGGCTGGCCTTTTTTTATAGCCAGCATTAAAATATTCAAGACTCGAGAAGGATTCTAGTAAAATTATAATCCTGTGTTTGACATCAAAATAATTTTCACAACAGCAGATTGATGACAGAACCACAGGTTTATGACTTCAGTATGAGGCTCTGCACGAGCAAGTGCAGAGAAATCATGTTAGGGACCAAATGCTCCCTCGAAGCAGATGCTTTTCTGCAAAGTCCCTGAGGCCTATCGCCTCTCCTGAAATGTCTGTTTTCATATGAAAATGTTTGCAGAAATATTGCATCTTGCCCGAGACTCGTGGAGAGTCACAGCGAGCCCAGACCTGATTTACTTAGAGAGCTAATGGTCATGATCCTGATGGAAGATTAAATCTCACGTTTCCTGTCTCTGATTTTTACAGCAATTTAAATACTTAGCCTTCTCTGCCATCCCCACAGTGACTATGGGCTTTGCACCAATACCAAGTGACTGAGGCCCCGGCCCCGTGACCCAGAATTTGCCAGAAATGTTTCCATCAGAGGCTCTAACAGGAGTCAGGCTTCGTCTCAAGTACTGGTTCTAGAATTCAGAAGTTTTACATAAAATGAGAGCTTTAGATGGAAACTGAAGGGAGGAGATAAGGGCCAGAGACCAATGTCAAAGAAACTGTTGCGAGCAGGCCGTCTCCGTCAAGTGACTTTATCCCGTCATGTGTTCCCCTCGTGTAGAAACATCAATGTCTCCCATTTATTGAACACCAGCGGCACACAAGATGTTGTATGTGATTATTTAATCTTCACGATTGCCCTGCAGAGTGTAGACATTATTGGCCCCATTTTGTAGATGAGGAAATCGAGGCCCAAGGCCACAGAATGTGTTAAGGGTAGAGCTCTGCTTGAACCCCAGGCCGGAGGAGTCCCAGGCCTGGCCCTTCAGGCCCGAGATGTAACTGAGCTAAGCCATATGTGGTCTCTAATTCTGCAGGCTTTGAGATGAATCTCAGAGGAATCATTGGTCTCTTCAAATTGGGTTCTTGTGATCGAGTGATGGAGGCTGTGGCTTTATTGACCATGAAAACTCCCTATATTTTTATGCCGTAAGCTGTAAAATGCATTGAAAGTGAAACACTCTATAGTGCATAAAATTGTGCCAGTTTTAAGCCACAGCATATTAACCAACTAATGGCAGACCAAAGGGCGTTTTTATCTTTTGATTATTACATTAATCTTCCATTAAAATTATCTATGTGATTATAACAAAGCACTGAAGATAATAAATTTAGGAGATAGTTGGCTAGTTAAGGATCATTTTTAAATGCTTTTGTCAAGTTATATGTGCCAAAAATACGTTGAAAACACTAGGTTGGCTGAGTGTGCAAACAGTGTAATCCAAAGATTGCTCTTATTAAGAATGATAAAACCTCTTATTTCCATGCATTGTGGTGTCCCACGTCGTCAGCCCGGCCCCGCGGTCCTCATGATTTATTGCTCTCAGCTGGTAGCTCAGCGAGGCAGCGGGCCAAGCACGCCAGGCCTTCTGTACGCACACACCAGCCCTTAACGCCTGCTGCTGCGGGCGACTGTCAGAGCAGGAAGTTCGGAGGGGACACCGTGTACGTGAGGCATCCATCCCGCGTTGCCTCCCCGCGACACCCCCCTGCTCCCATCTCACGGTCAGGCCCCCTCAGGGCGTGGGACGCGGGCCCCTCAGAGGAGAATCAACAGAGGTGGTGGCTGGTTGCTGTAGTCAAAAGTATTTGGGTTTCCCATCATAACTTTCAGATACTTGAAAGTGAAGAGAAAAGGTGTTTGTTCAAGAAAAGCTCCAGCCAGAGGGCGGCAGGGGGCGGTGGGAGGAATGGTATCCAGGCGGGGAGGGGGTAGGCGCGCCTCTGTGGAGGCCAGGGGCCTGGGAAACTAGAAGCATATTAATCAAGGACGATCCCTGCACCGCGACTGCTTACTGTGGCCTTGAGTAAACACATCGCCATTCTGCGCCTTGATTTTCTCATCTGCACGATGGGATGATAATGGCGTTGACGTCGTAAGGCTGTCGTGAAGGTTCCATGAGTCGATCCTCGCAAAGCACTCCAGCAGCCCACCGCCATGCTGCCCAGCCAGGGGTTCATGGTCTACACCGCGGCACAGGCCTGATCCCGGCACCGCTGCCCTCCCTGGCTCCTCCCGGCCCACCCGGACTGGCCGCTAAGCTGTTCGGTTCCACAGACGCCTTACTGTCTTCCAGAGCTGCGCCATGATGTGTGCCGGTTCCCCCCACCCCTGCACACCCCAGACCCCTGTGTCTCTCTCAGAACCCAGCTCGCTCATTCCCTCTGCAAGACTTCCCTGGCCCACATCTCTCTGACCATGACCCCATTCTTACATGCTCCTTCTGTCTCTGGTGCCGCACTTGTGCCATTGGATACTCACCAGGCTGTGAGCGCCTCGGAGCAGGGACCATGTCTTACGTTTCCCTCGGTCCCCTGACCTGAGCATGGGGCCAGGCTCAGACGTGGAGGCGCCTAGTGCCAGAGGTGCTGCAGACAGTGACTGGGTGCCGCCGCCACCCAGGGGCATGCCGGCTCCTCTCCCAGCTTTGACCCTCACCTCTGGGTGATCCTGGCCAGCGAGGCACCCTTCCCTGAGCCTCACTCCCTTTTATCAAATGAGCCCTGGTGGGCAGTCGAGGAAATCCCATAATTAGAACCTGTGTACCTCTGGGGGTACGGGGTGGGGGGCTGCATTTAGAGCCTCGGTTCAGCCGGTTTCTCATCCCTGCAGCGTTCTTGTCTTTCATACAAGGAAAGCAGGGCTCAGGGAAGTCACGTGCAGGCCCAGGGCTGCACAGCGGGCGAGCAGAACCGGGCAGCCTGGTGCACAGCCTTCTGGAAGGCAGCATGTGCTGAGGAGGGAGCACAGGCTCTGGAATCAGGAAAGGTCCACCACTGGTGACTGAAAGGCCCGCAGTGGCCATTTATCGCCTCCAGGCCTCCGTTTTCCTGTCCTAACGCGGGCTCGGGCTTCGTCCCAGCCTGCCAGGTTGCTGTGGTGACAGCCCCAGGCACAAGCGAGCCCCTGGGCTCCCGGCCTGGCTCAGGGCCCTGCCCTTCTTTGCCCTGGGCGGCCAGAGAGGCTGCCGAGTGACTAGACTATGTCGTCTTGCTTTCTAGGTTAACTACATCCTGGAATCGCGAGCAAGCACTGCCCGGGCTGACTATTTTGCTCAAAAACAAAGAAAACTGAACAGACGTACAAGCTTCAGCTTCCAGAAGGAGAAGAAATCAGGGCAGCAATGACACCGGCCTCCAACCCCAATCTGTCGCCGTAGCTCAGAGCCTATCTGCCAGGGCCAAGTGGGCCTAAGGCCCGCCCCGTGTCCTGCAGTGCTCGGGAACAGGCCAGCCCCTGGCTTGCGGGCACAAGGCTGGGGGGCTCTTGGGGAGCAGAGCTGGGGACGTCTCCGCGGGACCGAAGCCTGATCAGCAGTGGCTTTGCTGAGCAGTGCCGGGGGCCAGAAGACACAGACGCCACGCCCAGCCACCCTCACTGCCCGACGGCCCTGCCGAGGATGCACATGGCCGTGGATGCACATGGCGGTGCCCAGACATTGCCCTGCAACTTGATCAAATGTCTTCAAACAAAGAACAAAAATGTACATTTCTTTTTTTTTTTTTCCTTTTAATAAACAGGTGTACTCTACCACGGTTGGTATGACGGGCCATTCTTTGGGGCAGAGGATTGATCATGTCATTCTCTTTAAAATCTGTTCCCATATCGAACAGGCAGATTGGAAAAACTATGGCTCGATTTCTCAGAAGAAATGTTTAGGGCTTAGTCAATAGTTCTAACTATGCCATTTGTTTAAATGAGTGCATTGCTTTGAGGATAGTAGCTTACTAAAGTTGGGGGGGTGGTGCCAGGGACATGTGCCCCAGGTTGTGCCCCTTCAGGAGCCACCTCTCGTCCTCTCCTCCCAGAACCTCTTGGCTTCGGAGATGCGGGACTGCGTGCGGGTGAAGACCCGGGGCGCCGAGAGAACGGGGTGACGGCCGGTCTTCAGGTCACGCTGAGCTCCCGGCACAAGTGGGCTTTTCCACTTCTTAAATAGCAAGTGTCCGTTTCGGCTCGCAGTTAGACCTGCGCATGGCTTCTCCCTGGAACTGGGAGAGTCTCTGCTCTGCTGCCTCGGAAGGGCCCCCCGCTCCCCTTCTTCCTCTCCGCAGTGTCCGCACGGTGCCTGCCTCCTTGTGTGAGCAGGCGCGGAGCTGCTGTGTCTCCCTCTGTCGGGGCGAACGGTGGGAGGAGACAGCGGGGCAGAGGGAAGCCGGCTGCCCACGGGCCGATGGTGACACCACACCTCTGGCCACACCAGATGCCTCTGCGGTCCTCACCAGCCTCTCCAGGGACCCTCCCAGGGTGACGTCCTTCGGCGCCGTCCCCGGCCAGGGTCGAGGACCAGATGTTTCACCGAGGACCCAACATTTCAAACAGTTTTTTTAAACTGTTGTACAGGAAGAGATGTGACGAAAACAGCATCTCAAAGTCAAGTGTGTTTCTCTGCACTGGGGGCATTTTAATGAATTCCTCTTTCATTCGGATCTTTGTTCAGCCAACAGAAGCATCCTTTTCTAACGTCTTCCATTCCTACCCACCCCAGAAACAAAAGAAATATTATTTGTAGCTTGCTATCTATCTGTATTTGAATTTTTAGCAATTTTATATTTAGATATCTTTGAAAAATGTAAATGACTAATTTGGTCATTAAATCTTGTGACATATTCAATATTAAAACGATATTAAAATAAAAGTCATATAAATACCATCTTTTGCATATTGCTTTGGCTTCTCGAAGTCTCGAGCACATTATCCTGACTTTCCAGGCAGCGGGTGTGGTACCGAAGGTCTCTGACAGGCACCGCAGGGCTCCTCGCGTACTGAGCGAGACAGGATGACCCTCTTCACTCGGGCGACACCGAGATCTTGACCTCCCTCCAGGACACGATCAACACCATTCTCACATCGGGAAGAATGGCACACGTGCAGCTTACGTAAGGCACATCTGTCTGGCTGATGGGACACTTGAAGGGGGAACACTGTAAAACCACCCAGGTCGACCAGATATCCAGACCACTTAAATTCAGTGTTTACTCGGCCCGTCTCCCCACCCCACGCCTGGATTTTAGGAGACAGCCAGGAAGGAGCTCCTCAGGGATAGACCTGACAAAGCAGGAGCTCAGCGGAGCCGAGGTCAACTGGTCCCTCGCGCTCTGCATCAGCACCTCCTGACTGGGCTCAGGGGCAGCCCCAGCCCCGCCCCGACACCACAGTGTGGCGGCCATCCCGGAGCCCTGGCCTCAGCCGGCCGCTGGGAACCCCCATGGCCTGGGGGCCTACATGCCAGGCGGGCTGCCTGCGGGCCCCTTACAAATACGCCTGGGCCTGTGTAGCTCCCACAGCCAACTGGTGGCAGGTCCTGGCATCACCTCCGATCCAGAAGTGAGGGCTTGGGCCTTGGAAGGGTCTCCCCTTTCATCGGGACACACCGTGACTCTGACACCCGCAGCCACGGCTGGCGGCTTTGTGGCCCTGAGGTGGGCACTGCCTCCTCGGGGCCTCAGTTTCCTTATCTGCAAATAAAGGTGCTGGAGTAAGTGACCTCTGCAGACCTTTCTAGAGAATGTCTTACATGTCTCACAATCATAGTGAGCCCAGCCTTCCTTCCAGCGGTTTCTGTTTGCCAAAGCTCACCTTTCTGCTTCTGAACAAGAATTCCAAGAAATGCTTGAGGCCATTTCGTCCATCCTCCTCTCTTGGCAAGGTCTTATCCCCCACCCACCGAGTCGGAGCCTCTGTTTGCACGCTTGCACCCCTCCGCCAGTGGGGCTCGCACCGCTGTTCCGTCAGTGCTTTTCCTTGCTGGCCCATTTGGTCGCCCTCGGCTGACCTTCACTAACAGCCTGCCAGTCCGCCTCAGCCTCTGCACGTGCGGTCCCTCTCTTCCACCCTCTACCAGGGCCCCAGGATCAGTGTCCACACTGACCCCCCTTTGAGGCTTCTCTTCGCGGGTAAAGAAGCTTATCCCCACCCCCACCGTGTCCCTGAATACCTGCCGGCTGCTCCCATTACCCAGGTCAGGTTGCCAAACATCGGGGGGGGGGGGGGGGGGGGGGAGAGCGGAGTCTGGCGTAGCGGTCAAGACGCTCATGGTCCGGTGAGGCCAGGAGACAAGTGATCGCCGGGCTGCACAGAGTGGCTGCCATGGAAACTCGGGGGCGGGGGGCTGGAGGCCTGAGGTGTGCGGTGCGGCGGCCAGGTGCAGGTGTCCCGGGTGACCTGGGGCTCCCCGAGGGGAAGGTACACAGTGTGCAGGAGTGAGTTGGGAAGCTGGAACCGTCCCTCACCAGCAGGGCCGGTAAGGACCCTGGGGTGACGGCCCCCCGGCCACCTAAGCCTCCTTCTACAGCTGCCGTAACAGGCAGAGAAGGGCCCCTCACCTGGGAGGTGTCGGGGTCGGCCCTCCCGCCTCCTGGCTGGCCTCCATCTTGGCCCCCGAAGGCCGATGAGGCCGAAACGCCCCACATCCTGCAGGTGCCACCAAGGCCCTACGGGGGGGGGGGGGGTGGTGGCGCTGTTCGCAGAGCAGCCCTGGAGGGGGAAAGAGTTAAGCCTGTCATGTTCTGTTCCCACCAAACACCTCTGCTTAAATGCAAAGTCCCAACAGGGTGGTGTTTGCTATAAAAGCCCTAAGAGTGATTTGTGAAGTCTCGAAGCCCTGTAATCTCGTCAGCGTAATGGGATTATATTTCAAATCACCACAGCCTGTTCATTACCCATTTAAACTCCTCTGACAGAGGAAAACTTACATGAAACGTGCACGGCAGCCCTTGCCGACTTGCCCACTCTCCTTCCTGATTAGACAAACAGATGCTGAGGTCTGGAATGAAAAAATAATGTGCCCATTTATTCATTTTTCTGACAAGTCACAATAGATTTTTAACTGCCAATGAGTGACCTCCCGGAGGTGCGGCGGCTGGGAGGCGCCCGCCAGGCAGCGAGTGGTCTTTTCCGCCCGTGCCGGGCCCCTGTCCTGGCTGGATTCCTCCTGGGACCAGAGCTGGCTGCCAGTCTGAGCCACTCTCCCCGCCCCGTCCTGGCCGACTGCAAGTGCCCTCAGCCAGGGTGGCGAGGGCCGTCTGCCGGGCCTTTCCGCCGTCCCCACCGCCAGGAGTCCAGGGACCCTCCTCCAGGGCACAGCCACGGCCTGAAGTCAAAGCCCCAGGTAGGAAGACCAGGCCTGCCCTTGTCCAGCCAGGTGATTGAGGAGCCTCAGTTTCCCCATCTATAAAATGGAGAAAGTAGAGCTCATCTCAGGGGTGCCTGGATGGCTCAAGTCAGATAAGTGTTTTTCTCTTGATTTTGGCTCAGGTCATGATCTCACGGTTCGGGAGATCGAGCCCCACGTCAGGGTGTATGCTGACAGCACAGAGCCTGCTTGGGATTCTCTCTCTCTCTCTCTCTCTCTCTCAAAATAAACTTTTAAAAATTTTTAAATAAAATAAACTGCTTAGAGAGAGAGAGAGAGCTCATCTCAGTGGTGAGGGGTCAGTGGCCCAGCTTGGGCTGGTATGCACTCAGCTCCCACTTTGGACTGCCTAGGACAACTGTCCCCAGGCTGTGACAAGGAGAGAATGGGCCACCAAGTGCTGGGCCCTCCCTTGACCATGACCTCTGGTGTACTAGGCCTTTGTGGACACTTGCTGGGTCACAGGGTCACCCTGGCTCTCTGCGCTCTGACCATACCTGGATCAAGGGTGGGCTGGGGGAGAGGCCCCTGTGTCAGGGATCCCAGCTGCGCCCATGCCTGGGGCTCCCCCCTCCTAATTCAGAAGCAGGACACTGCTCCTGAGCTGGGCCACCAGCTGGAGGGAGCCCTGTGGCAGTTGCATGAGGCATAAATAAGATAATGTCACAGGCCTGGTGCACAGTGGGGGATGGGTAGCCATGAGACAAGGGTCCCCAGTCTCATACTCGCTGGAACACCCTGGCCAAGGTCTTCCCTGCCAGCGGGACTTCAGGGCTCAGGGCGCGACCCCGCACCCCTAGGGAAGAGCTCTTCGGCCCCCCCACCCCTGCCATCACCCTCCCACCCCTACCTAACCCTCCACTTCCCACCTTCACCCCCAGCCTGCCTCTGCAGAGAAGCTCCAGACAGGGCTCCCGTCTGTGTGCATTCCCTCCATGAATACGTAAGAAATACTGTGAGGCTAATTCTTTTTAAAATGATAAAATTCGTCTGTATTATAGCATTCCAGCCCCCAGCTTCCTGAAAGCTAAAAATATTTTAATGTCATATTCCCATGCAAATTTTAGTTTAGAATTTAATACCCTTTTAACATACATTAAATTTTTAGCATTCTTCAAGCCCTTGACTCTTGTAAGGGTTTAGCTGATGTGCATTGGAGAAAAGGGACGGCAAAGGCTGTAAATTAGGAGAGAAAGTTCTAGAAGCAAGGTGGCCCCCCAAACCTCTTGTGCCCACCTCATCTTAGGAGCTACTCCTCTGGGCTAGGGAGCATCTGAGCCAAACCCTGGGATCCTGGGGAGGTATCAGAAGCCTCATTTCCTTACTAGAAAGTCACAGCTGCTTTTTGGCCATGGGGTGAATTCACTACAGCAGCCCAGGCCTGGGGAGCCAGCA